GTATTTTTAAAATGTTTGTGAAGTATGGGGATTTATCACTGCTGTCTATGGGAATTTATTTGTAGTGGTGCACCCTCAACATTCTGGCGGACATTGTGCGCTTCCTGAAATGCCTTTGCCCGTAATGTTACGTCACGTGAAAAACCTCCATACGAAGCGATAAAAATATTTTGCGTGCCAGTTGCGTTTACCTGTAGACAGCATCATGGCACATCCTAGGAAGTGCGAAAGAGGAAACCACATTGCAAGGTCGTTTCTTTTTTGTCGAATGTGTGACAGAGTGGACGTTTTGTGTGTGAAAAAAGCTCACACCCTACGTAAAAGTCAGGTCCTTGCAACGGTTACTGCACGGTTCCTGTGCTGTGCTGATTTACCACAGTTCTGTAAATTGCATGCAGACTTCCTATGTTCGACAAACAGGTAAGCAGACGAATCAAACGAGCGCTTTAAACCGAGTATATCTCAGGAAGGCATCCAAAGCGCTGGAACTACAGCAACACAGCACCGACGACAACAACACTAAACAACAAACAACAACAATAAACTGAAATTTAAACGAAAAAGAGAAACAACCCCCTTCCTGAAAACATACACTGCGTATGTCAGCCTGAACTACAAATAATCATGCCAAGAATGAAAGGTTGCATTTCAATTCTAGAAACGTCTTGCAAATCTTACGCCACTGTCAAATCGAGCACACTTTCCACAGATCGCTAACGCCCACTGACAGAAACTGGGAAACAGACGAAATTATGACAACATACACATTTCAAAATTATATGACTTCTCTCTTTATTTCAATGTCTGCATTCAACGTCGTTCCAACAATACAAACCACAAACTAATCAATCAATTCCAACGAAAGTTTTCATTTTTGAGGCAACTGCGTTCGAAAATGGAAAAGTAGTTCGCGTAATGCTTTATTGAAGACCACGGCGATCACTTCTGTCACTGCCAGGCCACCTTTTCTTGCTTAGCCTTGGTCAAGACATTCGTCATTCTTCGCAGCGCAGAGCGTCCTAGCCGCTCAAGGACCTAGTACGTACCTGCGTACGCACGTGTACTGTATATAACTTGCATATATTGCAAAATCAAGGCAAAGAGCGACCCTACGCGGCCTAGGAAATATGCAATTCAGCTGAACCCAGACGAACGTCTTGGTGCAACCGTCCACGGAAGCTGTATTGGGCGCTGCTCATTACGCTAATGACTTTAAGTACCCAGAGCCAATGTTTTTAAATACGCTTTTGGATAGGTTCGTTGCTACATAGTAATTGACGCGCCTCTTCGTCGACGTCATCGCGTGCTTCTTCCACAGCTGGAAGAAGAGTGACTCTCTCACGCGCCAGGCGAAGAACAAACTCCTTGAATGGGTCAGGAAGGGAGAATACGTTGGCAGGAAGATCTTGGTAAATCTGGCTTGAGCTTCAAACCATTCACGCACAAGAGCAGCATGGTTGAATCTGGCATTGTCCCACACGACGGTGAATGTTGCCAGTCCTTGATCGTCGAGAGTGCGATCAGTCTTTCCGAGATACACTGAGAGTGATGACGTCATGTCTTGAAATTGCTGCATACTTGGTGATATTTTCCCAACGCAGACCAAGTTTACGTTGGCTTGCTGTCCGATGACATTTCAGCCTCGCCGTCGTCTCTTGGTCAGGTTGATCCTTCATTGGTACACTGACGCCGGAACCCGCCTTTTGAATGGTGCGAACCAGCGTTAGGATCACCTATCGAGTTTCAGACCCATGTTAAACAAACAGGCCCAAATTCACGGTGTGGTATGTGGGTACCGTGTCTAGCTGCTGCCGGTCATGTGTACACACGTTGCTTAGTGAAGCGTAGCTTGTCAAGTATTCACCTGCCACAGAAGGAAACACAGAGTAAACGCGGTATTCGTCAGCCATTTCCCCAACGACTGTGCTAAGAGCTAGGCTCAGCCCATGACGAAGTTCATCTTTGGGGAGTTAGCTTGACGTTATGAATAATAGACAACACTGACATATAATGCCGTGCAGGTAACGTTTAGGCTTAGTTGGTTATTTGACATTCGTCAGCGTTTATACGGCGAATACACGTTAAATTAAGTAATATTTCGATGCTGGTATCAACATGCCTCCATCATTTGTCAGTTGGATATTCATCATTCACAAAGGTTTGTATGTGAATGTGAATATTGTGGGCTTTAATGGGTTAAGTGGGTTTAACGATAGTCATTCACATGCAGTTTCGTATGTAGAATCCTGTGGGTTCAAGTAAGAAATCCGACTGAATTCTGACTCGTTTAGAATGAATGTGTCGGTTTACTGGACATCAGCGTTCAAGTAGGTTTGCACAGCATTTCAACATCGTGTATGTTAATGGGGACACGTCGGTGAAGTTGGAAGTCTGATATTCACATTATGGTGTGCCGAAATGTGGGTTGCATACCTCTGTCCACCGAATGTGTAGATTGTGTTTTGGTCTGGAAATTTGACATTATCGGAAATCTTCTGAGAGGATTATGTAAGTTTTAGTTACTTTTTCATATTCATATTGCATGAGTACAACGAATTTCTGCGTATTGTATGCAGTTGCAGTAGACTTGAACGAATCTCATTTCTTACAATAATAAGGTATGCTCAAGTTGGTCATTCATTGGAAGACTGCAGTATTAAAAGAATCCCTTAAATTTATGGAATACAAGCGATACCTTAGAGTCATCGGAGCATTTCCCGTTAAGTGCACTGCCAATGTGATTAGAAATTTAACAGGCAAGTTAATGGAATATTACGTAAAACCCTTGACTTGCTCTAACTTTTCCGTACACTTGAAGCGAAATCGCTGGTACCCATGGCCTGCAGAAATTTTTCGCGAAGTTTAATACTCAAATTCACTTAAGTTAAAGTGCGTGGTCATGCCACTGGGTGCACCCAAATCAAGTTTTCCATATGCGATAATCGAAAATCGCACGTGTATGTTCAACGGTCCTGTTCTTTGATCGATCGGTGATCTAACGCTCCATCCATCCATTGGTCAAGTTCTTGCGCAAATGAATCGGCGACAGATTACTTATCGATCGACATCAGCGTAAAGCAATTAGAAGCCCTAAAACTACATCAACACATTCACCAAAAATTCAAAAGCAAATATCACATGTCGAATCTAAACTTAAATCTGGTGTAGAACACTTACAACCCTAAGGGTAGAATTTTGATGCTTTTTTTTTCAGGAGGAAGCGACCTCGAGCCCATGTCAGCATTTTCATGCAGGTGTTTAACTCGAAGTGTGGGCTTAAACTGAACTGTCCACTGCAGAGTATTAATTATGACGAAACGCCGCTTTTTACTCAATAGCACTGTCGTTTATGTAGGCCTGACCATTTTGGTCTTAGTTTTCATAGCCGTAAGCGACTATTCAGGCTGGAGTTTGCGTTATGTGAGACCTCCGCTATCACTTGTTGGGGCGTCGGCTCTCCGGCATCGTCTTACCGATACGGTCGACAGGGGGAGGGGTGCCGATTTCAACTTGACCTTCACGCAGGGACACACTCTTACACTTACTCTCCGCATGGAAGTGAAACCAACGCTGGTGAAAGTGTTCTTCTGTGATGCCTTACGATCTGCTGCGTTGTTTTGGTCACCGAAGCTGGGCCCAATCAGCGTGATACTAAACGAGGAATCCGCAGCCGATCACCAGTTTGCTGGCAGGATGCGTCGGCTGGAAGGCGAGCTGGGTTTCCAGTTTGACTTCCACTACGAGCCTCTTCCCAATGATCCCTCCATCTTAAAGAGTTTTCGAGGCCAAGGGTACGCCCGACAGCTATGGAGTAGCTTCTTTATGGATATGTACATCAAGGCGTCCATTGTCGCCTGGACAGACGCGGATGGGATGTTCACTGCGCCCGTCACTCCACATAATATCTTCAACGGCCAGCGATTGCGAGTGGTTACTTTCACCGACTGGAAAGAAATTAGGGAATACGCCTGGGAAATAACGACTGAAACTGCCATGGGCAAAACACTGGTGTCAAATTTCATGTCTTATTTCCCAGTTTACATCTGGAGAGATACCATAACCAACTGCAGGAACCATGTTGTGAAGCACATGCAAGTAAGCCATGCATTTTAGATAGATTTATGTTTTTAGACTGCACTTAGTGCAATTAACTATTGGTGATTATAACGTGCCTTCCCCCTAAAAGGTGCCCGTCTAAATTTAGATATGCACTGTTGAATTTCTCTGGTGAAAAAGAATGGCAATTGGGCTTTTGTAATTAGTTATCTTGGGAAAACCTTAGTTTAATGGTCGAGAACGAAATCTCGTAATTCTGGTGTCCAGATAGAAAGAAACAGCCAGGCGGCAGTAGTCATTTTGAGAGAAAAGGAAAAGACAACTGTAAGCTTTTTACGTTCGGTGTTCAAAAAATGTTCGGTGAACATTGATTGAAGCTCCTTAGAGGGCAGAAGCAATGGAGGTTAAAGGGTTGCTGTCGTGAAATTATTAATTGGAATTCCGTGTCCCTTTCCATTCATATCATTCGCTCCACATAGCCAGAATCTCTTTTTAATCTGCTTCCACAATGCATACCCAACATAACAAACTGTTACACATTATATGTATGCCGATTTCAATCCTTGATAGTGAAAAATATCTTTTGAAGTGCAGTGTAATAGAACGGAAGGCACTTACCCATTCGTGCTCCAGGTATACGTTCCTTTCAATTGTCTTAATTGTGGTCTTGTTTTGCTAAACGAGTTTTTAAACTTTACAACAACTAAAACTTCACAATTTTTTGCAGGTGTCTAGCTTTGAGGACGCCTTTCGTAAGCTGGTAGATGCACCCGTTGGAAAAAAAGGAATCCCATTGAGCCCTGTCAACGTCATCTTGAACTACGCGTATTACTTTGAACACGATCGTTACGACTGGCATCTCGATGGTATCCGGAAAGACGCACCTCTCGGTTTGGCGATCATACCTAGCGAGAGGGTCCCGGAGGTGCGTGTCACTAATCACAAAGCGTCTGCCAACATATTGGTGCAAGGGTACTGCATCGCAAAACGGTACACTGACTCGCTTCCGGCTGCTTGCGAGCGGTTTCGATACATTCCCAATTTCCACCTGTTTGTGTTCGATGTTAACACTGATCACTTTAACACGTGGTGCTCACTCAGGAAAGGTCGCCGAGACTGCGCAAAACGCATCGAAGCGCACTACCAGAATTTCAGGAAGCATTACAGTGCCGGGTATGACCTGGATTTGCAACGAGTTCACAGGGTCGAAAAAGCGGCAAGGCGGGAGAAAGTTTCATGTGATGAAGCATTTCAGTTCGAATTAAACGAACCATAATGTGATAGTGTTAAATGAGATAACGTGACTAACACAACCCTGACAGTGTTAGGTTGCTCTTACACAGCTCACAACCAGAATGTGGGTTCTACACCCTATATGAACTCAACTATTCAGCACTGTAAAAACTCTGGTATTAAAATCAACAAATTTGGTGTTATCAAATGACCACACCATAGGGTGTTACTTTAACACCACTTGTGTTACTTTGTACAGTAGTGTTACAATGCACTGGAAAGTGTTAAAAGTAACACCAAATAACATCAAAATTTTTAACATAAGTGAAAAGTGTTGATGTTGTCCTCTGATAATACCGGGCGTGTTAAATTTAACACCCTGGTTTTTGCAGTGAATGAATGGTTAGTACTTCAAAAACTTGCATGTGACACCACTCATTAAAAGTACACGTGTAGTTTGAGGTCTGTTCAACGTTTGATTTTGTTTCTTTTTCTTATAAGTTCCTTGTCACACGCGTGCCAGCTCTCTTACATTGATCACGCCATTGGAAAAGTGTACCTTTTTTGCTGACCCGTCTGTGGAAAAAATGGGTGTAGCAGGGGAATACAGTTTTCACAAAATTGCCGTCAAAATGACAACAAGATGTTTCTAAAAAGTCCGAAGGCTGGAAGCGTACAAGTGTGCAGTACAGCCATATCAGGAAAAAAGTGCCGCTGGGCATTCCGCTTCCCGGCTCTGATAGGATTGTTTCCGTTGGAAAGTGCCATTTTGACGGAATAGTTGACAATTTCTTTGCTTTTCCTTGCAAAGAGGGCGTTTTGTATTGTGTTGTTACGGCAGGAAGACAAAAAAAGTTCGTGGGGTTTTCTGATGAAATCATAACGGACCCAAAATGTGTCTGTTGTTTATATTCGTAGAGGAACTTTGCCTACTATTGTGAAATTAAAAATAGATAAAACGAAGTAGAAAGTTTTCCGGGAGAAATGTTGGCAACCGATTTGCTTTAAAGTTGTCTTTAGCCCACCAATCTGCCAATTTGCGTGAGCGTAATAATAAAAAGTCGAGCCGTAGTGCCTTTAAAATGGTACTTCAAAATTAAACATCAGGTTAAAATGAGCCCAGGAGACAATTAAAATATCTGCATGTTAACGATTTCACTGCATCACTTTTAATTCGACAGTTTTGGTTTTATTTAACTTAGTAATCAACCATTTTTGTATTGTATTTGGCTTTGTACATGCGACGGATAAAGATGTGGACCGTTCTTATGATAATTATATCCAGTTATTATTCCATCTGTGAAGTAACCCTCCCTCTCTAAAGGGCAATACGTAAGAAAAGTAGATTTTATCTCATCAATCAATGAGATAATCAATTAACATTGATTTGCTTTTATTTTTGCGTTGGTATTTTGTGGTGCGTTGTATCTCAAAACAGATACTGCAGTGTCTTGGTTTTTGTTACAGAGCATAAAAAACATGAACCAATAATAACTGATGTGCCTGTTTACGTACCCATCTTGGTATTTTTTTATTCCCCTTCGGTAGCGTAGCCTGGTGGTGGAGAGTGGAGTATGTGACTAAACTAATTAATTACATTTCAAACACTTCGCTGGCTACTATTCTTTTTTTTTGTTAGGCACATTTCTCCAGTATAGTTATCTTAGTTCAGTTCAGTACAGTTCAGTTCATTTTATTTCCACTTACACCTGTCAAAACAGTGAATCCATTAACACTTTTAAATGACGCAAGTAATTGATAGTAAGTGGAGCAGGTCTCCAAAAAGCAGGGCTTGTAAACCGGGTACCCCCTTGGGATTGTGTGCATGTAGATTGTGCTAATTACATTTACATGATTGTTATGACAAAAGAAGTACACAATATTTAAAATGACAAATACACACAACACACAAAAGGAGACAAGACAAACCTGACGGCAGGACAAGACGTCAACAAGAGGCTAACAAGCACAATAAGAAATAACTACAATTACAGTGAAATATATGAAAAATTTTTCAATCACTCTAATCGGTGTTTTTCTACAAGCCAAGCTTTGAGTTGTTTCTTAAAGACCGACAAATTTTTAATTGATTTAAGATTATTACTTAAGGTATTCCAAAATTTTGGACCCTGAATAGAAACAGAATTAAAAGACGGAGAAATGCGTACATATGGAATATGGAAATCGTACACAGACCTGGTGTGACACATATGTGTTTGAGTGTTTAAAGTAAACATATTTTGAAATGACTTGGGTAATTCTTTTGCTACAAATTGATGCATAAAGGAGTCAAGCTGGACTAGATAAATCTAAGAACCTTTACGGTATTGTGGTTGCAGAATAATGGATTAGAAGGACTACGAAAACGAACACCATTAATAATTCTAAGGGCCTTTTGTAAAAACAGGATTCTATTCAATAGATAAACAGAAGCTTTGCCCCAGGCAAGAGTACCGTAAGAAATATATAGTAATACAAGAGCATTATAAATATTGAAAAGAACACAAGATGGAAAGAAATTTTAATTTGTTTATAATTCCTATGTTTCTAGAAATCAATTTGCACAAATAATTAAGATGATTACTCCAATTGAGGTTGGAGCGCCGTCTCAGGAATGCCGTGCGTGCACAATCAAACAATTGCGCCTTGAATACTGTTCATGTGCGTGATCGTATCATGCAAATGGCGGACTTCTTGCTCGAGTTGACAAATTCTGGCATCCCTGGATTGTAACTCCAGCTACAAAGCATTATGAATGTCGTTGCTGATAGTATCTGCAATCGCTTCAGTCAGCGCTGGAAATAATAGATCAAGAAGAGCCTTCGATCTCAGGGCTTCAGAAATGGCTGTGGTGAGTGCCAGGCAAAACTTAACAGTAGTTGAAAAACAGTCACTGGTGGAACCTGGCAAATGGTGGCATGTTACGCGCGCGTCCAACCTGCAAACGAGCGTGGTACTGCTGCAGTAATGGCTCCCCAGTGTGGTCACCCGATTGGTTGACATGATTTTGTCTTGTGAGCGATCCGGTGATTAGGTACAGCGCATCTCCATTAGAAAAACCGGGTATGAGGACACAGCGCCATCCATTGTGTGCGCGTGCTTTTCAACAATGAGGTTTAAGCTAGTGGAAATATCAGTATAGAATGTAGAGTCCCCTACATTTTCCATACATTAAATGTATGGGAATTTTTGAGGAGAATGCAGTTGGCTTCCATTTTACCTCTATTTTTTTTCTACAACAATTATCATTCCTTCCATTTCTAAATGCCATTTTAATCTTTTTCATGTTACTTCGGATGGCTTTCCTAAGAAGTGCACTGAGTATGGGGCAAGAATACTTTGCCAAAAGTTAACATACGCTAAGGTGACCTGCTGCATGACTGGCTTGGGATGGAGTACAACAATGGTCTGGAACAGAGTTCTGTAACATGTAAGGTGTCCCGGTCCCCTTGCGTATTGTTACTGTTATATAATCGATCAGGTAGTGCTCAAGGGGCGATGAAAGGACCCGAATCTTCGCATTCAGGTCAAATTTCCACCAGAGTCAGTACGAAGGAGGCAAAGAAAGACATGTTTTCTCAGGACCGGAGGGATAGCATCACCAACAGAAGCACCAACCCCCATGAAAGGTAAGTTCAAAATTTGGGGTTCAACCCCTACACTACTATACCCAGGGGCGGATCCAGGATTGTTTCACTACGAAGGGTGGGGTCATGGGGTAGATCCCAGGGAGAGGGGGGAAGGGTACATGTGTATATATATCCCCTACACTTTGGAAGGGGTAGGCTCTTAAACCACCCCCACTTTTTGTGGTGAGCAAAACATCAAAGCCGAGTGTGAAGATTTTTTTTCAGACTTCCGAGGACTGACATGCTTTCAATATCACTCAAAAGGAAAATAGTTAAATGAAAGCCATAAATGCCATTCTGAACGCGTAGTACAGATGTAAAAATCAATGTCATGAATATTGACTAGAATTATAGAGTCATATAGCGTCGCCCCACCCCTGCCCTTTTAATTTTCATGACTGGGCAAGTCATCCCCCACCTTTCCCTATCCCCCATCCCATAATTTCGGTGCAGATATACATGTACGTCACTTGGTAGGGTAGGAGTTACCACAATGTCCTGTATTTGTCGCTTTGGGTGAACTCCTTGATCCTCTTTTTGTCCTGTCCAAGCAACATTATGACCACACTTAGTTTATGCTGTTAAGTGGGGCTTCAAACCTTTACGTTGTAGCCCCTAAGAAAATGGCAACGAGCAGGGGGTTGAACTTTCAAACCCAACCGACCACCAGGGGTTTGGAGCACTATGAAGAGGATCTTCGAAAATGTACGAAAGCAAAAGTTCCATTGGAAGTGAAGGCGTCTAGTGGAATGTCCTTGTTTAATGAAACCGAGATACAATTATGCGACCACAATGGCCTGCAAAACGTTGGGTCAGAGAAGAGGGATGGTAAAACCGAAGAACACCCAAGATTAGATGGAACTCGATGTTGGTGGCAACATTATGATGTTGGGGGTTTTGATGCCAAGTGGCCCA